ATGCTCACGCTCATGCTGATGCTGATGCTGATGCTGGTTTTGAGGATGACGGGCAGTTATGCATTCCTCTTGAAAGTCAGCCGAGAAGGAGGTGGAGGAGGGGGAAGAGGAGGAGCACGAGGATGAGAAGGGGGCGAAGGATGAGCAGGAGGAGGAGATGGAGGCAGGAGGAAGCGGGAACTCCTTGCGTTTTTTGTTTGTGAGCCTTCAGGGGGCTCTCGTCGCTATGGCGGGATCTGCCTCGAATTCTTGGTCGTGACAAGCCCCAGGAGGGATCAAGAGGCTGATTGTTGAGAGAGGAGAAGGCGGAGGCGGAGGAATAGCAGAAGGAGCAGGAGGAAAGCAGGGGGAGCAGGAGGGAGACTACGACGACGACGAGGAACAGAGGCAGGCGGGGCAGGAGGAGAGGGAGGACCAGGAGGGGCAGGAGAAGGGCCAGGATGGGAGACTGAGAATGATGATGACGATGACGACGGCGACGATGATGCTGCTGATGATGAGGCTGCTGCTGCTGATGTTGATGATGGTGATGATGGTGATGACGATGATACTGATTGTTTTGGTGGTGATGATGGGGATGCCGACTGACGATGGCGATGGTTCATAATGATGATGGTGGTTGCGTTGTTGCCAATGGTTGTGTTGGTGTTGGTAATTGTGATGGTGATGGCGGTTGTTGTGACGATATTACTGTTGTTGGTGTATGCTTATATGTACTGATGCTGCAGATGCTGCTGCTGATGATGACGCGTACGCTTACGCATATGACGACGCTAATGACGCCGATGATGCTGGTGATGCTGACGATGCTGATATGGAAGCTGGTGGTTATGCTGATACCGGTGATGCTGATGCTGATTATGATGATTGTCATAATGCTGCTGACGGCGACGACGACGCCTCTGATGATGACGATGATGCTGGTGATGATCATGGTGATGATGATGCTGATGATGATGTTGGTGAAGATGATGGCGATGATGATCTTGATGATGATCATGACGATGGTGGTGATGATGATTATCATGCTCGTAGGGATGGTAATGATGATGATGCTTATGATGATGCTGGCAGTGGTGACGACTATGCTGATGGCGACGATTATGACGCTGATGATGATGCTGCTGCTGATGATGATGGTGATGATGATGATGGTGGTAGTCATGTTGATGATGATGATGATGCTGTTGTTGAGGATGCTGATGCTGATGATCATGCTGCTGATGATGATGATCATTATGCTGGTAGAGGTAGCGGTGATGATGACGATGACGATGATGTTATGATAATGCTGGTGGTGGTGATGATTATGATGATGACGACAATTATGACGGTGATGATGATGACGATGACGGCGATGCTGATGATTGCGATGCTGATGATGATGATGGTGGTGGTGGTGATGATGATGGCATGTTGATAGCGATGACGATGGTGATGGTGATGACGACGACGATGATGATGATGGGGATGCTGATGCTGATGATGCTGATGCTGATGCTGATGGTGATGCTGATGATGCTGTTAATGATGATGCTGCTGCTGATGATGACGATGATGATGCTGATGCTGCTGCTGATTATGATGATTATGATGGTGACGTTAATGCTGACGCTGATGATGCTGCTGCTGATGATGATGATCATGATCATGATGATGAGGAGGATGATGATGATTATGATGATGATTATGCTGCTGATGATGATGCTGATGACGATGATGATGATGATGATGATGATGATGATGATGACGATGATGCTGATGATGATGATGATGATGAGGCTGATGGCGCTGCTGCTGCTGATGACGCTGCTGCTGATGATGATGATGATGACGCTGCTGCTGCTGCTGCTGCTGCTGCTGCTGCTGATGATGATGATGATGATGATGATGATGATGATGATCATGGCGGAGAGGAGTAGGACTAGGTGACAGAGCAGGAGCAGGAACATGAGGGGCAGAGGGCAGCAGGATGCACCTCGTCCACCTCTTCCTCCTTATCACCTTTCTCGTCCTCCTCCGTTTTTTCCCCTGCTCCTGCTCGTACTCCTCCTTCTCCTTTGTCTGTTTTTCTTCCTCCCTCTACCTTCTATTCGTGTTCTCTCAGACATCCGACACGCTGCTCTCTTGGACGCCCCCCCTCTTGGACGCCCCCCCTCTCGGACGCCTTTCTCTTGGACGCCCCCGACTCTGCTCCAGACGCCGAAATGGACGAGACGAAAGCGGCGCGACTTTTCGAGCCCGTCTGTCCCGGAGCGCGTGCTGGCTGGAAGAATTCCGAGGCGTATCGCGGATCCAGCCCTGGACACGAGGCAGGCCCCGGAAAGGCAAAAGACGCCCCAAAAAACCTCCCGAGCCTCGATGCCCCCCCCCACCCCCTCACCCACGCCCTCCCCCTTCCACTCAAGGAAGCGTTAGCGACGGGTCTCGCTGCCATGCAAAGTCGGCGCTCTCGGCCGCCAAATCGGGCGGCGATGCAGCGTGCGCCCGACCGACAGCGCGCAAGAGTCCGACCTCCCACCGCCGGGTCTCGGCCCCGCGCCCGCCGCTCCCAAGGCCTACGTGGACGAGAACCACCGTGACGGTGACGACCGGCACGACGACGACCGCGACCCAGTGCGGCGACATAGACCCGGTGGGCGAGGAGCGTGGGGGTGCTCCGGGCGCCCCGCCCTGTCTTCTGGCCTCCCAGCCATGGCGGTGTCCGGGTGGACGCGGGCGGGGGATCGCGCCGTATCGCCGATGCATCGATGTGGAGCCCGATTTTCTCCACGCCGACGTCGCCGATGCGTCGCCGATGCGTCGCCGATGCATCGGCGTTGCGGCGCGATCCTCCGACCCCATCTGCTCGGACCCCGCTTGGGAGGCCTCTGCTCACTCCCGGCCACACCGGGGCAGGGATTTGACCATTGCCACCGCCTGGGGGAATCGACATTCGGGACTTCGGCAGGCGGTGGGTATAGATATATTCTAGACGCTCTACGTAACCCCACCATCACATCCAGAAACGATGCCCAGGCAAGTTGCCCTGATCAGGGATGTGGAGGATCATGCAGTGGAGCAGCGGGCTGGGGAAGCCGTCATGCCTCAAGAGGAGGAGGATGGAGGATGAATCGGAGGAGGGGGAGGTGGAGGGGGAGGGGGAAAAGAGAGGAACATGTGGAGGAGATCAAGAGGAGGGTGAGCTTAATGGGCAGTGGTCTCTTGGATGCCTCTCGGAGTCTCTTCGGATGTCTCTTGAAAGCTTGTGTGAGTCCTTTTGGAGCGTCTTGGGGTCCTCTTGGCGGTCCTGAGGGCCTCGTAGAGCGTCATGGGTTCTACGGGGGAGCCTCTTGAGGCCTCTTGGGGGTCTCTTGGGAGCCTCTCGGGGACCTCTTGGAGGCCTCTTGGGGCCTCCTGGGCGCCTCTTGGGCCCTCCTGGAGCACTCTGGCGAGCCTCGGGGGCCATCTTGTGGCCATTTCGGAGGAGATCGATCAAAGAAAGGGGGGTACCATATTAGGGTCCCCCCCAGGAGGCCTAAATGGGTACAAAGTCTGAGTTAACTCTATAATATTTTGCTTTTTCGCCGAAGCCTTCTTTGACGCTCCAATCGGTCGCGAACCCCTCCGTCCAGGTCCAGGGGAAGGGTAGGGGGAGGGGTAAACTCCTCCCGAAGGGGAAGAAAGGGGTTGGAAGAAGAAACGCTCTAAACCACTCACGCCTTTAAGGGCTGGTGGGGTTTCGGCCCAGGGGGGGCCAATATCCATGTCCACCGCCTGTCGAGGTCCACAAAGATCCATGGATACATTCCCGCCTCGCAGCCACGGCCTCCGAGGACGCCGATGGGCCTCCCGAAGATCGCTGAGGGCACTGCGGAGGGCCTCCGAGAAGGGCCCCGCGAGGGGCCGCTGGTCGCAGGGCGTCGGCTGTGCACAGTTCACTGGTTCTGTCCGGGCCCATCGGCGGGCCCAGGATCGAGGTGCACGCCTTCCTGGCCAGGCTGGGGCCACGAGCGGCGAAGGTGTTCATGCCCACGCCCTCGCGGTCTGGGCTCCGGGGCGCGATCCCGCGGATACGCGGTCGCGTGGATACGTGCCGCGCGGGGCATTCTCGAAAAATCGCCGCGGCCCATGAGGCCCGGGCCCGCGAGGCGCGCCGCCTGGGTCTGGACGGATGCTGGGCCTGGGCCGGGCCTGGCCAGGATCGCTGCAGTGTATGTCAGTCTCCATCCAGGGGGGCAGATCCGCCAGTGGGGCCCGGGCCACGCCCATGGGATAATGCTCGGTATTGTCGGGGGTTGCTAAAGGTGCCCCTGGCCCAAGGTGCCCGCAGCTTTTCGCTCCATTTTGGAGCCCCTGGGACCCCCTGGGCCTCGTGAGAGGTTCTCTGGAGGCCGTGGGGGCCTCCTTGGAGATCCTGGGGGCACCTTGGGCCAGGGGCGCTTCTAGCAACATCCGATATAGCATGCAACCGGCATCCTGCCTCCGAAGGGCCCCCAAGAAGGGCATCTGGGGGACCTCCAAACCCAGATTTCCGATGCCCTGTTTCTTTCGTTCCAGGCGTGGCCCCCGGACTTCTCGGCCCCTTCTGGGGGGTCGCTCCTTTCATCCTGGGTCGTTTCGTGATGGCGCCGGGGCCCGAAAGCGGCACCTGGATGCCGCAAGTGCGGAAGGCGGCGGTGCCGAGAAATCCACGACGTCGGAGGTCTGGGCTCCTCACGGAGGGCGTCTTATGCTGATCGACGTGGCTGGGCAGGCGTTTCGATCGATGGTCTGCGATGGAGGGCGGCCTTCGGACCACCCTGCCGGAGAATCGGGGTCCGCGACAGGGACGGGCAGCCGATGGGCGGGGCACTGCACGCACCCGTCTGCGAGGGTCGTTCCGTAGTCAGCTGCCTGCGCACGGCAACCACCTGCGCGCCAGACGCCAGCGCCTCTGGGAGTTTCTGCCTCCCTCTCATCTTCCCCACTGTCTAGGACAAGTGGTACGACTCGCTGGGGCCGACCTACGACTGCGATTG